GCCATCACAGTGCTAGACTGCATTAATAGAGGGATAGAATCAAGATGATGTGATGTGTTAATACTACTTTATAACAACTTGGTAGGGCCACACTTGGAATATTGTATCCAGTTTTGGTCACCATGATCTAAAAAAAGATGTTGAGATTCTAGAAAAAGTACAGAGGAGAGCAACAAAGATGATTAGAGGACTGGAGGCTAAAACATATAAGGAATGGTTGCTGGAATTGGGTATGTCTAGTTTAATGAAGAGAAGGACGTGGAGTGACATGATAGCAGTGTTTCAATATCTCAGGGGTTGCCACAAAGAAGAGGGAGTCAAACTATTTTCCAAAGCATCTGAAGGCAGAAGAAGAAGCAATAGATGGAAACTAACCAAAGAGAGAAGCAACCTAGAACTAAGGAGAAATTTCCTGATAGTTAGATCAATTAATCAGTGGAACAATTTGCCTTTAGAAGTTGTGAATGCTCCAACTGGAAGTGTTTAAGAAGAACTGGACAACCATTTGTCTGAAATGGTATAGGATTTGCGCCTGAACAGGGGGTTGGATTAGAAGACCTTCAAGGTCCCTCCTAACTATTGTTATTATAATTATTATTATTGTTGTTGTTGTTGTTATGCTAGTCATTCTGCATTTAATGCCAGAAGGTTTATGCTGCCTTAGGCTTTGTCTTCTATTAAGAGTCCTAAATTTGAAATAAATCTCATTTGTCCTAAAGTTGTTATCTGTATGAATTGAACTAGATGAAAGGCCACATCTTAGATAGAAGTTCCAGAATCTGCAAATTAAAGGAAATACTCACCTCCCCTGGTATCATCAAGCATCTTCAGGATATTGGCACTATTAGATTTTGGAAGAGCAACAGACAGGATGAAGCAGGAATAAAATCAATAGAAGACACAGATCATGGACTTGAAGGACAGAGGAAGCTGCTATCAATAAATTTTTCAGAGATGTACTGCTTGTGTCCATTACAAGAAACTAATTTGAGTAAAATCTTAGACAGGTCCCTCTCTATTTTATATGAAAATAAAGTGAGGGAGGAGAGAAGCATATTCAGATTTGGAAGATTAATATACTTAGTCTAAACCTAACAATAAAATTAGTCACAGTAATAGTAGTTCTGATCTATATTGCATTGTAACATTTTTTGGGGTGGGGATGGGGGTCTGGTTGACTTTATAAGGCTGTCAGAATCTCACCCATTACACTAAGTTTATGCAAGCAATTGGCCTTGAGACTGGGAAGATACATGGTGTCCAGATATATGAGCAACTGTAGTGATATGTGGGAAAGATTTGAAGCTGGATAGTGGGTGGGGCAAGAGGATCGGAAGGAACCTTCCCTAGTTTCTTGTAAAGGAGATGGTGAGAGAATTGTACTTTCAGATTTGCCAGGTTCTATTAATGCAGCTTTATAAATAAAAGGGAATTATCTTTTTTGGTTGTATTTTCTATTTGGTCAACCTGGTAAAGCTGACAGAAAAACATATAAGATTAGATGCTGAAGAGTGACTTTTCTTTCTTTGGGCAGGAAAATCAGACCTGTTTTGGAGTCCAGAATGGCAATATGACTTAAACGATTAAGCTTTAATTAAAAAACCCAAGGTCTACATTTTTAATCTAGGATCCTGTTTGATTGAAGTAGATCTAATTAACTGGTCATCCAGTCAAGGATTCACATGAATTCTTTAGGATATGAAATGGCTATCACAATAACCTTCATATATTTTCTGGAAGCAGACAAAACTTATCGAATCCTTGGCAGAATTGAAAGACTTATGAGCAAGACAGGACCAGAAATAGGATATTGCCTGTCTGAGGAGGCAACATTGGAATGTTTTCTAATCAGAGCAAATGTCATAGTACAATAATCCTGCTCTGTTCTTGAAAAATACATATGTTGTATTAATGAAATTATGAGCCAATAAAGATACTAGGGAAAATTCCAGTACCTCTAATGGAAAATAAAAATTACTGGGCGAGATAAAATAATCTTGTCCCTAATGTTTGGATGCCATTCAAATGTCTTTTAAGTTTTTAGATTATTTAATTATCTGCTTCAACCCTTGTCACTCTTAACATAACATCAGAGGGAAATACAAGAAGGCACAATGATGTATGTATTATTTAAGATGACATAAATAATACATTGATTATTACAAAGAAAATATATTCTGCTATGAGATAAGAACTTTAATTCTATTTATTTTGAAAAACGGGGAGAAAAAGAACTTTTAGCAATCCTATGAGGGGCACCCAAGATTTTGGTTAAAGCATTTTCATTCAATAATTCTTTGCCAGTTTGGAAACAGCTTTGGACATGAGCAATGTTGAATAGCTGGGCTGATTCATTTCCAGATCATGTATTACTATATGTAGTGGAAACCTTCTGTTTTTGTACACTTAATTTCCAATGTTTTCATCATATTTGTTTTTGAATCTGGTTCATTTTCTCTGAGCTTTTCTCAAATCATGTTGCTCAGACTCAGGTTTGTCTTCCTCTTTTTGTAAGGAGACGCAGTGAGGGAATTTTTATGCTGCAAGATATGCAAATGTTGAAGATAAAGCAGTGATTTTTGCTCTTTTTCTCAGCATAACCCAAATAGTCAGCTTAAAACCACAATGTCGCATCATACATTTTTTGGAATATAACCAGTAAGAGACTTGAATGTTAGCTTCACTGATACATGAGATACTTGAAGGTTTTGCTTTTTAATGTAAATTAGTCTAATTAAATTATTTTTTGTATCTTGGGAGATTGTTTTCTGTCTGTTCAGTTGTGTCCAATTTTTTAAAAAAATTATTTCCATTTTCTCAATAAGGTTTTTCAGAAGTGCTCCTAGGCTGAAAGTGAGTGGCCCAGGTTTGCACAGCTGGCTTTGTGCCTAAGGTGGGATTAAATCTCAGAATCTCATGGTTTTTAGAATGTTGTCTTAACCACTATATTTCTTTAATAAAGAATAAAGGTTATAACGATAAATATTAAAAAGATTCAATCTGGGTCGGTCACCAGGACCCATCCTCAAGGAACTTCTCTCTCACCAGAAGGTGTCTAACAACTCAGAGACATTCCCTGAGGATGGGCTTCAACATAAGTCTGAAAGCTCAGAAGACTAAACCTCTGGTCCCAATGACTGACCCAGATTGGATCTTGTAACATTATCCTGGAATGTGTATGTTTGCCGTCCTCTGTGAGAAGTATTAAAGTTAAATGTTAAATGTGAATATAGACGGAATATAAAAGTGACTAACCAGTACAAAATAAATATCTCAAAATAATTTGAAGATAGAGGCATGAATGAATGAGGATGCAATTGGAAAACAAATAAGAAAGAAGAATGAATTTTCCAACAGGAAGATTCTTTTTTTTAAAATCATGACTATAAACATCGATGAAATTTCAAAAGAGAGTTCTGAGAAGTTTATAGGATACAATTTGTATATAAATATGGTCTCCAAGTATGGAAATGTATGGAAAATAGTGTTTGCATAAAGTAGATTTGTTTTCACTGTTTATTTTTGCCTGTGTGCTACTAAAAAGAAAAAGGCTGGGGTGGCTAATGATGTTAAGCCAAAACAAAACAATACTGTAAAACTGTAAATTCATATTTTAAATATTATTGTTATTTTTTAAAAAAGATAAAAAACTAACAAAATACAAGTATCATATACCACAAACACCTTCATCCTCAGTCATGAGGAGAAAAAAATGTGTTCAATGTTTTCCTGAAGCCCAAGCAGGACAAAGTTGTCCAGATTCATTCTTGGCTAAGTTATTAAATTTATAGGCCTTATGAATCCATCACAACTTTTGATAACATAAAATATGAAAATATAATATTTTTTTTTATAAATTGGTGGAGTGAACAAACACCGTGTCCTCAGTTAACTCCACATGATGTTATCAGTAACTAGCATTACTTAATTAGGGATTTCCAGTTGCTGGCAATACTTATCTCTGAATCTGGCCTTTCAAGAAGTTTTAAGACAATGGTGAGATGTATTGTATTTCCATTTAAACTGAGGCTATTATTTCAAGTTCGCATATGTACATGTAGATTAGCAGTTGTGGCATTATGCAGATCTGTATTCTATTTTGTATTCTCTTGCAATACATAAGAGGCTTAGAAAGCAGAGTTAAGGTGCAAAGTCTAATTGTAATTCTGTACTATTCTTTGGTAATGGATGTCAAATTAGAGCATTCCTCTTTTTAAAAGCATATTTAGTCCAATTTATTCCCCTAGAAATAAATAAAATAAAAGCTGTTTTTATATAAATTTTCTTTATATAAAGATGTACTAACTTTATTTTTTATTAATTTCATTTTTAAATTTGTTTGCCACACATCTCATGGCAAGGTGATACTATAAAGTAGAAGTCTTATAAAACTACTAATTAAAATGAGAAACTAGCTGTTTTAAAATCCCAATTTCTTCTCACTCTTGATCTCTCTTATCCTAACACCCAGATTCTAATTGGGGCATTTAAATAACACACAGAACAGACACCTAATAGCTATCAAATTCTTATTCTAGCAGACAAATGGAAGTGGTCTTATAGGTTTCTTATCCCAGCAAGTACAACAAACTCATATGGCTTCATCCATGGTTTGTTTGTGAACCAAGGACTCTGGCTTGCTCCTCTTGAGGTAGAAGCCAAGAGTGCCATATATGGATATGGAGGAGGGGGAGAGAATGAGAGACTGGGAGACACATAGTCATTCTAACATATTCTTTTTTGTCTTAACGAAAAAAAGTATATTTCCCCTTTATTTACTGCCTCTAATAAGTTTGTGTTCCCTTCTCCTTCTATTTCTTTCCACAGAAATGAAAGTTGTAGAATTGTATTCTCTTGGTACCTAGGGCTGGAACATACAGCAAAGAGAGCATGGTGACTCACATTTTCCCTATCAATTAAAATGCAAATCAAAAAACAAAACTAAGTAAAATGAAATATCTTCTTCTTCAGCTTGATAGACTTGGTACTGAGACACTCACGTCCATCTGGTGTCCGAGCTTCCATATGTACAAGGTCATGCTCCTTGTCCAAATCCGTGACAGACCTGAGAGAAAAGAAGAAGCAGCAGAAAAGAAACAAATCAATCTGTGCAGCAGAATGCATAATGGCAGGCAAAGGTGAAGATGGATTGAGAAATGAGTGGAGAAAAAACACTTGGCCTCTCATTTTAAACAACCCAACCTAAAACTGCAATTGATTCAATGCATGACAAAGAAAGCAACAAACATGGACCTAATAGTTTAGTTTAAAAAGCACATAGAAACAGCAGAGAAGAAATTTTCATTTCATTTCATTTGCTTTTAAGAACTCTGAAAGCTTGCCGACTTTGGCCATGGTTTGGCTGTTGCTGCGTCTCCAATGTCTTATGCTGCTAGGGCTTCTGTGAAGTTCCTAGGGACAGGTCCCAAGCAATGTGCTACCTCCAGCATTTGCATACTGGCAGGCAGAAGGGGGAACGCGGTTCCAACCAGGGCACTGAGCCTGGTCTTACCCCTTTAGTGACTTAGCTCCCTTCTTCCTAGTAGCATAATCCCACCTTCATCGCCACTGTTGTGCAGTGGAACAGTGAGACACTGAAGACATGGAGTTGAATTAACAGCTCTTTATTAGGTTCTCACAGAAGCAAGCTCTAGCACAACAGTTCTCAACCTGTGGATCACGACCCTTTTGGGGGTCGCACGAGCCTTTCACAGGGGTTGCCTAAGACCATCAGAAAACACATATTTCTGATGGTCTTAGGCAGGGCTTGTCAACCGCCTTCTCTACCCCCCTCCACTCCACCTCACTTGTTTGTGGAAAATATGCTGCTTGGCTGCAGTCTGCACAAACTCTACCAAATGTGCCCTGCAGGGGGCGCATGAACAGCGCAGGTGCAGAGCAAGGCCCCGCCCTCCCCAGAGACCATTGTGCAGCAACCGGATTGACTTCTTCTCGTGCACACAGATCAGCGAAGGGAAGGCCGCCACAGCACCCAACTCCTGCACCCATCAGCTGGCGACCCCCGAACTTGCGCTTGTCAGCTGGGAGGTCTGGCAACAGCCCCCGGTCTCCTTTGCCACCCCACCCGTCCTTGACTCCTCTGCCCGCCGGGGCTCGACAGGGAGAGAGGGAGGGAAGGAGGAAGGGACTCCTCCTCCTCCTCTCCTAAGCTTCAAAGCATGATTGGCTTCCCAAGGGTGCCACAATTCTCATGAAAGTGAGTGGAGAAGCAAAGTGGGCGAGAAAGCTCATGATGGGCTTGAAGGAGCACTTGTCAGCGTTGGTGATGAGAAATTCCCCACAAGCCCAGGGAAGGGGTGGAGAAAAGGAGCCCGCTTTGGGAGAAAACTGCCACCTTCTTTTTGGCTTTGCACTCTTCTGTTCCTTGGCAACCGCGCTGCCAAACCTCTGCTGGCTGGAACTTCCTTTCCTTCCCTCCCTCTTGGTCTCGTCCTCCTTCCCTCCTTCTCCCATTGTCCCTTCCTTCCTTTCCTTCACCTCCCTCTTTGTCCCTCCTTCCCTCCCTCTTTCCCCTTGTCCCTTCTCTCCTTCCTTCCTTCCTTCCTTCCTTCCTTCCTTCCTTCCTTCCTTCCTTCCTTCCTTCCTTCCCTCTTGTCCAGGTTAAAGGTGAACCCTACAGCTGATCCACACTTCTGCAGAGCAGCCAAGAAGCAGGTCAGCTGTAGCAGCTCTCCTTGGCTCCTGCCCAGCAAACTTGCTCGAGCTTTGCTAGAAAACATGCCGCTTGCTAATTTAGCAGAAGGGCAAATCAGCTGTAGCTCAGTGCTGATCCTGGGGCTTCTGCTAACTTAGCAAGCAGCATGTTTTCTGGTGAAGCTGAGCAAGTGAGCTGGGTGGAGCTCTCCTCTGCCTCTGGCAGCCTGTTCCCCTCCCCTTGTCCCTTCCTGGGCACAGAGGGGGGGAGGAAGAAAGGGACAAAGAGGGAGGGAAGTAAGGAACAATGAGAGAGGGAAGGAAGGAAGTAACAATGGAAGGGAGGGAAGGAAGGAAGGGACAAAGAGCGAAGGAAGGAAGGAAGGAAGGAAGGAAGGAAGGAAGGAAGGAAGGAAGGAAGGAAGGAAGGAAGGAAGGAAGGAAGGAAGGAAGGAGACAATGTAACATTCTGAACATTCTGAGCCATTGTGATGTTTTGAATCTACGAGCGTGAAAGTACCAACCCTCAAAGCTGCAAGCACCGTAGCAGGGATGAAAGGGGAAACCCCTCGCTCTTCCAACTCTCATGCTGCTTAAGTCTTCACGTATGGTGAGCCACTGAGGCCAATTTCCTCCATGAGAAGAGAACGCTTTCCCTCTGCTCCCCACCCACCCGAACTCTACTCCTTGAAAGGGGCGGGGCTGAGAGACAGGAGCTCCTCAAACACCATGGCGGGCGGTTCTTAGGGAAATTGCCCTCCTCTCTGACCATTTCGAAATAAAATAATAAAATATACTAAGGGCAATTTGGGATTCATTTCACTCCAAATGCAAAGCTGGGAGATGTAGAGAATTATCGGAAAGTTGTCATTTCTATAACTGAATCTTTTTCGAATAACCAGGAAGAAGATGATCCTAAATTGTCAGAATAGAATAGAATAGAATAGAATAGAATAGAATAGAATAGAATAGAATAGAATAGAATAGAATAGAATAGAATATAGACCAGAGCAGAGCAGAGCAGAGCAGAATAGAACAGAACAGAATAGAATAGAATAGACAATATGGAAGAGAGAATAGAATAGACAATATGGAGTAGAGTAGAGTAGAGTAGAGTAGAGTAGAGTAGAGTAGACTAGAATAGAATTATGTTCAATTTGTAACAATGAAAATACATCCTGCATATCAGATGTTTACATTACAATTCATAACAGTAGCAAAATTACAGTTATGAAGTAGCAACAAAAATAATTTTATGTTGGGGGTCACCACAACATGAGGAACTATATTAAAGGGTCGCGGCATTAGGAAGGTTGAGAACCGCTGCTCTAGCAACTGCTTGACTTATATTTATATGGACCACCACTAGGCGGCAGCTAATCAGTTTAAAGTACTCAATCCCACCTAAAACACAAGGCTTAAAGTTATACAGGCAGACAGTCTATGATTCAAATAAAGCAATCAGTTAACCGTTCTTTATAACAGACCCTTTGAATTGCTTAATACATAACATCATCCATTGTCTAATCCCCTCCTTAACAGTTTGTCCATGCCTTTTCCAAGGTTAGCTTTACATTCTTTTATATCTTGAAATCCATTTTTATTTATTTGATTCATTAATTAAATATTATCCCTTTTTTTCTCCAAGAGATCAAGGTGACATACGTAATATTTATTGCACAAACTCAAGCCTAAGAAGTAGATTGGATTGAAAGGAAGTGACTTGCTTAACACAATCCATTGAGCTAAAGAAGCTGGTAATGCTTTTGACTCTGTGGTTCCTTGGTCATAATCCTTCTTTCTAAATGCTACTTGGACTGTCTCATATGAGCAATAATTAAAGCTATATAGCCTGTTTATCAACTCAAATTGAGAATGCTTGTTAACACACAGCCAAAAGCCCCAGCAGGAAAAGACCAATCCCACTGAAAAAGCTATGTCTTTTGGCAAAACTTAATCATCATTTCTGATTGAGAAGTTCTCAGCATATAGATGTGCAATAGAATATGCACAAAAGTAGGTACGCTGGTGTCACAAGTTAGTTTGGAAGAAAAACAAAACTATTTTGTTCATATGTGTTTTTCCAGTCCTCCCCTATATGAATAAAATAATAACTTCAAAAAACTTCCTCAAAATATTTCAGCTTGCACATCATTGCTGCCTTGTTTAGAAGCATACATACACAACCCACACAAGTATGAGTATTCTTTAATAATTCATAAAAATTGATTCAAGAAGACAGATGTTTTGAATTTGTAATCCACCACTAACCAAATTCATAGACATGGAGGTGACAGTTCATAATCCAATACTCTGATAATGTCAAGATTAATTAAAGAATTCCAAGATTGAATAAGTAAGACTTAATGAACTTTTATTATTACAGGAGGACATATGTGTTACCAAATACTATAGAGCGTCTTTCAAATCAATTTTATTCCTGATATTCCCTTATTACCGATATGACATGCTAGTAAAATATTTATGATTTTTTGATTATCTCTCTGGCATCAGATAGAAAACCATGCAAAAACAGAAGGATATATTACTGGATGAGCCAAAATAGTTAGAATTAAGCCATAAACTTATCCCAGTCTTGGTTTTCAGAAAAAAACATATGTAATCAACAGATTTATTGGAAGCAAAAGAGATCTACAGGAAGCTTTTATTAAACAGAAATATTTTGAAAAAAGCAAAGTCAGAAAAATTACTGGCCTATCAAATGAATGCAGGATAAAAGTATTATTACTATATTTGGAGTGTAACCAAATATATTTCCACAATGAAAGAGATGTCCCAAAGATGCTTTTTCAGGAGGCAACTGGACTTTCTTCTTTTTTCTTTGAAGACGTTTCACTTCTCATCCAAGAAGCTTCTTCAGCTCTCATTGGATGGTAAGGAATGGAAGGATTTATATTTCTTGCAGACAGCTGGTCATTTGCATTCTTTTAGAGAGTCGTTGAGGCCATTTGGAGGTTTATCTGTGTCCTCATGGTCACTTTAGTGCAAATGTGTGTGAAGCCTTCTTGGCTGCAGGAGGTTTCTGCCCTTCTAATTCAATTTTATCTTTGGGGTTTCTTGAAATTGAATTAGAAAATCAAGGAGTATACGAAATCCCATGCACCACTTGTCCTACCACATACATCGGACAAACCAACAGAAGAATAAGTGCACGCATTGAAGAACATAAGAACTCAGTCAAAAAAGAGGAACCAACATCTTCCCTGGTCCAACACCTTAAAGCCACAGGACATGAAATTGACTTTAAAAATACCAGAACCATTGCCAAAAGTGAACATTTTAATAACAGAATAATCAGAGAAGCCATCGAGATAGAAAAACGCCCACACAGCATGAACAAGCGAGATGATACCTCCCGCCTACCAGCCATTTGGAAACCGCCCTTATTGA